TTTAAAACAATTCCTGCCTTTGGCATCCGCTTTCTCCTTTTGTTTGTCCTGGCTATCAGCCATTGTGTCATCTACATGTCTTTATACGTTCATTTGTGTAGCGAAAAACTCACCTGCTTCTAAACCGTAGTGTGGTTGACATCAGCAAGCCGATCGGCTATACCTCCCCCACCAAACCCAGAATCACATAGTGATAGCTTTAACGGAACGCGAGGGTAAGTGAGGCCCTTTACATAGAACGAGTATAGCCTGTAAAAGCACGAACAGCGTTGTTCAACGCAAACTCAAAATGAGGGAACATGGAGATGCAGAGCTTAGGCGTATCATCGCAGCACTGCACAAAAAGTCATTAAATACGAGTTTAACACGCACAGTTTGACCATCGGTCCGCGGATGGTCCGCTGTGTAAACGTCCAACCAGGTGCCGAGCACCTTAAAGATGGAAGTCCAAAACTTGCCAGAGAAACGTGGATCACGATCAGAGAAAAATATCCACTGCCAAACCATGTTACCGAAACACCTGGTCGGTAAACAGCTTTGCTTTACCTTTGGCATCGACAGGGTCCGTCAATGCCGCTAGATGAGCCATCTTGCTCAATCAATCAGCAAAGACCACAATGCCAGTGCTGCCTTCCAAAAATTTCGGTAGCTAAACACGAAATCTGCAATTATGGACTCCCAACACTTAGTGGGAAAAGGCAGACTATTTAGCGGCGCTGCCTCACGTGCTTAGGGTTCATCTCGTTGACACTTTTGGAAATACTCACATAGTTGCTCATCCACTAATGCAGTTTGGGCCACCAATAATTCTGGCTCACCGAGCTATTGGTCTTCTCACGACCGAGATCACTACTTACATCGGTATCACATGCCTCATCGAGGATTCGATACTTCAAAATCTTATCATGAGGGACAGCAATGCGAGGATTATCGTCAATATCTGTTAGATAGCATAACATTCAGTTTCAATAGAATATCGACACAGCTTTGCACGCAAACGAGCCGAAATTGTGTGTCTGAGTCTTTTAAGTACTCGCTCCTAAGATTTCGTAGCAAAGCTATCAATATTTAATCCTTGGCATAAGCCGCACAGATTAAGTCAGTGACTGAAGATGATATCGTAGTGACGTGAAAAAGCTCATAGTCAGGTAGGAGCGATAAAGCATTAGCCAAAGCATTTTGCTTTCCTTGCTTATACTTCACGTCGAAGATATATTTGGCAAAGAATGAAAGCCTACGATCCATTTCTGAAAGAAATGCAGAGACTGTGTCGCGCGCGCAATGACACATGGTCTGCATCAATCACTTATGGCTTTGAGCCAAGCAGATGTACTCTGAATTTGACTTAAGCGTACTTCAAATCAAGTAGCTCTTTGTCATGAGCTAGATAGCTCTCTTTGCAGATTTGAGCTGTCCAGATTGGAATGCAATAACGCGCTCGTGTCCATGGACATCTGTTTGTAACAGAGCACTGACTAAGGCAAAGTCAGATGCGTCACAGACGACACTAAAAGGCCGATCAGGATCGGCTTAGTCAGTATTGTCGAATTAAGGAGATCACTTTACTGCTTAAATGAAATCGGGTTCGGTGTTACCCCAACACCAACTTACATCCTTCTTAAGGAGGTTTGGTAATGACCGAGCCATATCTGCTTAATTCGCACTATTTAAATGCAAGTAATTGGCAAGGCCAAGCCACTTACGTAAATTTTTTGGTTCTAAGGAACCGGCTAGTCGACTATGGCCTTTACCTTAGTGGGGTCCGCTCAAAGGCCTCCCTCCCAAGAAAGCACCCTAAAAGGGAATCTCTTCTGCACAAAGATGCAATTAGATGCATTTGCATACAATTTATTCGTGCGCATGCAATCGAGCACCGCTCGTAAATGATCAATGTGGTTATCCACATCAGACCGAACGTTCGTTGCATACTTTGGACAGATTTGTCATCGAGGAATGTTTGTGCGTAACCTCGATGAGGTCTAAAAACTTGTGTCACGAGATGATTAAAATTGACAGCCCTTGTGGCACAACGAGACACTCCCAGAGCATACAGCTTGGGAAATTAACAGCTGTTAGTGAAATATCACTTAGTCACATGAGAAGCTGATAATTAACATCGACTAGGTCGAGCGCACTGTACAATGTGCATTCCACCGTATTTTTTCTGAAGAACATCCTGTCCGGAAATTGTTGTCTGAGCCGGGAAATTAGCACCATTAAGCTTATTAAAATCATGGGCAATGTACTAAGTGTCTTCCTGACACACCATGTCGGTGTGGAATGGGGATATTTACTCTTACACCATTCCAGCCGCGTGATTTTCATGAGAAAAATAGTCAACGACGTCACACTGTTCCCTAGCTTAAAGCCACTTCCGTCTTACGCAGTTTCAAGTTCCTGGAACCAGGCCAAATTCATGACGTACACCTCTATCGGGAGGAAAGACAGATGGTGGGTTATGACACATCACATTTTAGAATTTCTTTACCAAAGGATAAACGCATTTTAAAGTATACCTCCGTGTTGAAGATCCACTCCGGGCTCTAAACGCCGCCTTGGTGTCCTTAAAGACCGCTCATCCATAAATGAGGACGAGCTCAACTCTACATCGTGTCTAATGCCCACTAATTTGAATAAATACCCGGCTTTTAAGGCCTAGATAAACTCGCTATCAGAAATTTCGTCTAGCTTACAAAGAGCATCTAAAGATGGAAGGTTTTCCATGCTAACATTGCCCTCAACCTGGACAGTCACTCCATTGACAAGTGTATATAGTGTATCATTATTGTCACAATGTAACTGCTCGGTTGTCTGGCGTTTAACAGTTGCCACCTGTCACATCCTGTTGTCTCTTCGATGAAACCTTGCACCCCTCTGGGTTCAGGACGAAGGTGCTTCTGCCGTACAACACGTTGCTACTCAGTAGGTGGAAGTGCGACTTCAAATTTCATCTTCAGCATAGCTGAGATCCATCGGTTCCAGCCTGCTAACGGCCTAAGTACTCGTGGAGTTTACTCGGAGAGCTAGGGTTGAACCCAATCTAGCCAAGCCTGGCCGACTTGAAGTTATGCTTAGCATTAAATGCAATTCTCACAGCCTCTTCGAATGTAGAGGGGTGAGTTTGGAATAATTTGGTTATGACGATGCCAGTATGGAGACCCTTAACAAAGGTAGTCACATGGACACCCTTCGGCAGAGCGTCAGACTACATCACAGCCATGAGAGTACTCAGCTCTTTAAAAAATGGTTTATTAAATTGTTCTTGCCTTGACAGGTTGGCAAATAGCGTGAACGCGGCAATTCTGGTTAGGTGGTAAAAATACTTGTACTAATTACGACTTAAGCGACTCCCATGTGGGAAACGCAAAGTCGACCGAAGTGCTGCACGTCAAGACCCATTCTCTAGATCTTCCATCGAGCTTTGAGATAGATAGCGATACACGTCGATGGCCAAGCCTAATCAGGCCTGATCTCATGGCCATCTCAATCTATACGGATCCAGAGGATGATGTTTTCATCCTCCTTTCCTGAGTTGCTTTCAGCTTTCCCTCAAAGTGAACGAGACATAGCCTCTTCTTCGTCTGGAACAGACACATAGCGTGCAAGCATAGCCGACGCCATTTGGTCTTGGACCTGCCCCAGAAGGGACGCTTTAGACTGGAAGAAGCCCTCAGCACCCGCAGTCAGCACCTCCGGACCTTGTGATACGAGGACTTTAACATACTCTGGACGCAAAGATGCGGTAAGCTTATCAAGTGCGACCTTGGGCTTCAGAGAGGGGAGTAAGGTTTCCATCCTCACAAAGGATAAGTCTTTGCAAAGTCAGCGTAGATTGACTACAAGTCTACCAAGGGTAGCGGAGATACACAGCTCCTTAGGTCAGAGAAAGACTTGGTGCAAAACGAGCAATGTTAGTTCTAAAGAACTAGAATCTATGAGTCAACAAGCGCGAAGCTTGAGGTGCCTGATCCGGGGAACCGACGATTCCGTGAATCTACAGCACTTTGTGCTCAAGAGGAGCTACGTCAGAGAGGTATTGCTAACACTTAACGATCAGTGGTCAGAGACGCCTCGCAATGCATGTGTCTTAGACAAGATTAAAAGCAAAACTGAGCTTTATTTGCGTTTAACTCTTTAGAATATCTTACTCATACTATTACCCAATCCAGGCACTCATGTCCTCAATAAACATCTTCATGATCTTTCCTATCTTGTGGCTGACACCCGTCAGCCCCTATAAACCGATAAGATTTTCTATGTCTCTTTCAGTGGGGTACCATCCCGTGTGTCTAAGACACAGGGTACCGAGTACCCTACGATATGCAACCCCTTTACACTGGCAAATGTTGTCAATTTTGTTGCTTGATTATCCAGACAAATTTGCAAATAGTTCTTTTCTTTGTTTGGACTGATTAGCAATCCCATCGTCATAGTTAGAAGCATTGTGCGGAGTCCTTTACGGTTATTGCAATAATTTAAACCCACTGTCTGAAGCTCCAAAATAACCACTACCAATGTTTGATTGGCATTGCCCAGTAGCCTGATTGCCAATAATGGTGTGGCGTAGATTAGCTGTCCGAGACCTGGTACTAGACCAGGATAACTAAGTAGATGTCTGCACTGGATGTTTGATTGCCGTCAGACAAGCTTTTTAGCGGGCCGTTTGCGGATGCCTCACCTTCTCGCTTACATAAAGCCGAGGTTCGAGCACCATGAGCTCATCGTCTGATTGCAATTGACAAGACCAAAGCTACTCTTCAACGTAAGCAATGAGAGCTTGATCTTACTGAATCAAACTACTAGTATGCAAACCTGTTCAAGCTCCTTGGCGATTTCTTACGTGCTGTCTAGTGGAAACCTCGACATCGTAGAGGGTGGAGCATTGATTCCTGTAATTACGACACTAGCTCTTCACTTCTTATAGCGCGTGTACTCCGGAAGATGACAGCTCTAGACTTCGCAGACATCTGTAGTGGATAGCGAGGCTATTATCACGATATCTAGCTCCGGCGACGGACGCACTTTGCACCAGTGCTCGCATTGGATGCACTTGGCGCCTCAGTGGCAGGAAGAGCCGTGACGGCCGTATCTCCCTGCTCTATTGCAACTGAAGGCGTTGTCGCAGCTGTAGGAGTCTCCTCTTCAGAGCTGTCACCGGCGGAAAAAGAGACCTCGCCGACAGAACTGTCATTAGCCTCGCTGGATGCTTCCTCGTCAGAGCCTGAAGCTTCTGTGCTTACGACAGCGGTCGATGGAGCTAGCAGGGTCGCTGACGAATCCGCGCTGGTCGACGGCGTCGCCGGTGCAGGGGTACTCGTAGCAGTCGAGTTGGAAGCAGCACCTCCTTTCAACTTGCTCTTGCCGACAGCCGTGGGCGGTGCACCGATGCCAGAACCGCCTTTTAGCCACATGCAGTTAATGTATGACTGCCACGGGTCCGCGTGCACAGCAACCCGGTAGATCGTCATCCGATTAGCGCCCACGCACTTGGACTTGACGTACGGCATCGTGGCAGGCTTGTTCGGGTACTTGGTCTGACAGTCGCTGTCAAACAGTACCTTGGTGTCGTCGCACCAGACCTCACACGGTCCAGGGTGGGTGAAACTGGTGTACGTGAGCTCTGATGCCGGCAGCTCCGAACGCGCCGAGTCTTTGTAGACTGTCAACCCACAGTCGGGGTCGACGTTAGGAAGGTGGATCTCCTGGTTCTCAATAATGAACGCGCCAAGCGATTTATACCCCTTGGTCGGAAACGTCTCGGTGAAGAATTTGAGTGTGGCATTCGGGCCATAGCCATACTTGGCATTGTCATAGACTCCCCAAACCTCGTTGTCAATAGTGCTGCCGTAGCCATTGTTCGGGAAGCCCTCGACCCACTGAGCCTCCGGATGAACCATGTAGCCGTGGCCTTGCACGGATGGCATGGACGCCAAGACGGCAGCTCCGGATGCAATGAGAGCAAAAGCGTGCATGCTGTTGATCTATGAGTCTACGGACTGCTTGGAACGTGACTGCGAATTGGAGAATGAGGTATGGCCGCATAACAATGCCTGCTCTTCGGCTGGAGTTACCCTCAAGCTGGAATGAAGCCACGGCAGGACGTTTGAGACACATTCAAGGCCATCGACATCATCGGAGACAAAAGCCGGGCCATGCACAGCACTGGAGAGCGATCAGCTTCAGCGGATCAACAGCTTGTATTGTGCATCTTTCTGGTTTACCAGCCGGTACGGTCCAGCCGAGTAGACTCGCCACGTACCTCAGCGGGACGGTGTCGACAGCCCCATTTGAAAGCCTACCTGGCCTTTGATGTAGCCTCCAGTACATATTTGTACGAAGTTAGTACTCATAAGTCATGACTTGCAATCCCACACACCACCAAACAACAATGTGCCTGGTGTCTATGTGAGGTGATCGATACGCTGCGTATGCAATACGGCATGAATGCTAACACATAAGGCTAACAGTTAGATCCCATCACAGACGGAAGGTGGAGTGTTGTGTAATTAGATGATCAGTTCTTTGATAGCATTTTAAGTAAGAGAACGCGCGGACGTAAGCAAGAAATAGAATGGAGCAAACATGGGAGGCATGCGAAAACTGTTTCTCCGTCCGAGCGTTGGCTCGATATCATTAAACCTTTAGCATCGTCATCACATTAACAATTTGCCGGTAGTCACTGACCAAGGAAGGCTTGCTTCGACGTGAATGATAGCCATAGGACGAATTCGATGAGGGGTCGGCTGTCCAGTATTAGACGTGTGCTCGACCAGCTGCGGAAGAGGCAAGTTGACGTTGGTGGCAATGGCCTGCCACGCGACGCTGAAAGTATAGTTGTTGGACTGGGATGCGCTGATAGAAAGCATGAGCTAAGTTTGACTCGACAAGTGCATCGACTTGCAGGTACCACCAACCCGTGAACCGTTTGTCGTGCATCTTCGTTTGCAGTGTGTCAGATGGTTGAGGGCAGCAACATTTGTTAACATTACCATACCACGTGACAAGGGCTGCATCGAGGAAGGTCGCATTCCGCCACCATCTCAGACTGGAGTGCGCTTTAAACGAACGATCAAGGTCTTGCTGACGAACCTACATGACCGAACCAAGTCAATTCTGGTCAGGACAGGATGCCGTGGATGGTAGTGAATAGTTAGTCAACAGTACAGTGCCTTGTGGACTTGTCTCGCTAGTTGACTCCAACTCTAAGAGGTGACAGTTTGTAGAATTGGGGGCGAGGACCGAGCTATTGCAAATGATTTGTTCACACCTAGTAGGGTCTATGCGTTCTCGCGTGTCATGGCGTAACGAACACCTGTCGACCTACAATGGGCCAAGGCGACCACAAATACTGACTCAAGGGATCGAGTATGCGCAATTGTGTACGAGAGGCTACATGAGTGACCAGTAGTAGTCTTTCAAAAGAGGCTGCCTAGACTGTCCCTCCCTCAGCGACACGTAGGGCGGGAGCCCTGTTTGGCTGCGCTATCCAGGCTAGGGTCTGGATATGCCCGTCACAACATGACGACATGGGTTAAACAACGTCGAAGACGGCCCGCGGGAGTGACTTCATCTGGTCGGCAGAGTTGACACCGATTTGAGAAAATATCGGGAGCTTACCGTCTCTAACGACAAGACGAGCAGTGCCTAGCGTAATCTGTCGCAGCGACGGCACGACGGAATTGAGATGCTCCTTAAATCTTCTCATCGTCGCCCAAACGACTGACTGAAGGCTTTTTCAGGATGCAGCCAGGCAAGGTAATGTCGTCGGCTTCTAAGCATGGACTATGAGATCGGACTCAAGAGTCGTCTTTGCATTTGCGGAATTGCGTGCTGTCTCTCTCTGTGTGCGTGTGGACTGATCCTGGTCGTGCAATTAGCGTGTAGGCTGCTCTAGCAAGAGTAGATACTTTTCCTTGTAAATACTTTTCCTTGTGGATACGCTTTCAGATGGCTTGTAAGGGACGAATGGAGTCGCGCGGTTCAACCGTAGCTATATCGGGGCAGAAGGTCAGCGTTAAAGATCTTCGATATCAAGGCGAAAGGCCAGCTCGATCCATCGATTAAGTCGAGCACCGTATCACTGATTGCCACAGTGACAGCACCGCACTACATCAGCTCCTTAGGCCCCGGACGCAACCTGATTCAAGAGACCCATCTTCGATCGAGATTGTCCAGGTGACTGGGGGTGAGCCACTAGAATCAATGCCATCGCGTGCTCGAAATATGAACAGCACTAGTACATTGTGATTGGCACGACAGGTGCTCATGTCATGGCATTGCACCCACAACGGTCGTGAGAACGTACCGCGGTGGCTTGTCACACTTGTTGTCACAACTGTTCCGAAGCGACATTTGCCGCAATGTCGGTCGAGACATTTACGTCACTTGAGAGAATGGCAAGGGTCAGTGGTTAAAAACCTCGTATCCTAATGGTATCATTTAATTGCCAAGGCCTTGACGACAAGTGAAAGTTGGTTTCAACGTACCATCCACGTGTGCAATTTAGTCAGTCTGCACACTGTCATTGCATATCGTAACGAGAAGTTAACACAAGCTCCAATTATTTCTTGACGGTGTGGCTTGAGCTGTCCGTCTCCAGTCGTTATAATTTAATAGAGGTCTCAGTGTCGAATAAACGTGCTTTTTGTTGCTCCTCGTCATGAGAACGGAGCGGTTGGGCTGCCATCATCCCGGGATCGTTTTTTCACCTAACATTCGATGCGTGCAGAAAGAAAATGCTCGTGTACTCTGCACAATGAAATTTACAAGGGTAACATTTCTCGTCGCAATTACTTACAATCGTGTGCAGAATAGATTGTCCGTAACATCTAACCTGTGAAAAAGAATGTTCGGGACTCGACATCAATTTCTATCGCACATCACTTGACGTTTACTGAGCTGCAAGACCTTCCAAGTTCGAGCTGTGACGCAATTTGCGACACAAAATTCCTATTTTGAAACCCTAACGAGAGACCATGACCAAGCTTTTCGAGCGAAACCCCCGCAACATTCGGTGCGTAGTGACTACGCCACGTTCGTTCTTGTCCATCCATCAATCGGTCTTAAATTGACGTCTTTGTATTGAAGCATCGCATCGTGGATGATGGCGCTTGGCCTGTGCTTTGCCTGGTACAAGTACGACGAGAGGAAGGAGCTTCAGTTTACCGACAAGGACGCCGCCCAATGGAACGAAGCCATTTTACGCATGCATCCACAAAAACCAAGCAAGAAGAAGGAGAAGCACCGTGAAGATTAAATCACAATACAAGGCACTTGAAGTCGAGTATGCGACATTCAGCCGTTAGTTTGCTGGTCATCTCCTTTCTCAGCTCTTTGCCGTGTCCAGTCCCATGAGCCCAACACGCTTCCTCTGTAGCCGCCTCATTTGTGAACAAGCCAGAAGCTGAACAAGATGACGACGCCATTTGAGAACCCCAGCAAGATTGCGAACAATGTGAAGAGCGGCAAGTGGACGTAAGGCTTTACCGCGCACTCTTTTGCTGATGGTCGTGATAGTCATGACGATATATGTTGTCTCTGTTGGATGGACCAGAACTCCTTTGCTCGTGGCTGCCGGGGTTGGAGCGGCGGCTTGGTACATGGCGACGAAGCGCGACTACAAACCCCCATCGCCCGACCGTGACCCACGCGCACCACCGTCTCAGATGAAGTAATTGCAGCATGAGAAGCCACGTGCGACGTGAATGAAAAGAGTCTGGAACGAGCTGAAGCGGAGCTTGCGGTAATCCAGTTGAATGCCCATTTTTATGCGTGTGAACCAGTTAATACGAGTATCAACTGGGAATAGTTACTGTTGCTAGTCGCGCTACAACTATAAAGACTTGATCAACAGGTTGGACGCCATTTGTGATTTCTGCGCCCAAAAATATGAAAACGCGCTTCTGTTTGGCGATCACGAGTCAAGTCAACTGAGTGTACGTTGGCACACATCCCTCGTTCACCCGGTCCCAATCCCACACCCGTCGTTCCTTCCCCCTCAATGAACAACGCGCCGTTTCTAACCCAGCTCGCCCCTCGCGCGTTTCTATCTTGTCAGAAGCGTCGCGTCTTCGCTTTTCGTGCAATCGTAGAGTTCGCCGGGTCGGTTTTCCACAAATCGTGTCGCTTGATTCTGTACCCATCTGCCTGCTCGATCCATTCAGTGTCCCGCCCTCGCCGCCATGTCGAGCGTGCACCGCTTGCTCATCGTCCTCGTCCTGCTCGTCCTCCCCTGCTCACGCCTTCCCACGGTCGCTGCCCGCACGGACATCGCAGCGCAGCTCTACGGCAACGCGGCCATCACGCGACCCGCTACTCCGTCCCGTCTCAACGCCGCGCTCGAAGACCTCGTGGGCTCCGTCGCGAACTTCACGCGGCTCCCGTTCAACGTCCAGCGCGCGTTACTATGGAGCGCTGGCTGGGTCCAGATCGTGTCGACGGCGCCGTTCGTTCATTCGAACGCGAACTCCATTTCGAAAGTCGTCTACGTCCAGGTCTACGTCCTCTGCGGCCGCACGATGAGTGACGTGTTCCAGTCGTCGCAAGCGTTCGACGACACGAGCGCGTGTGAACTCAAGAACTGCAAGAGCAACGTCATTAGCTACACGCTCTCGAGCTGTGACGCGCGCTATGTCGAGTCCAAGACGCTGTGTGCCTTGAGCGGCGAAGAACTTGCAGCCAGTTTCGAGTCCATGCCGGTCAAAGCCGGACCGCTGTGGTCCATGGATGGACAAGTGGATGATACGTTCGAGCCGCAGCTGTTTCAGTATTTGAATGACTCGAGTCGTGAGGAGAATGTGGACGACGACGATGGCGAAGAGCAGAGGACGCTGTATTTATTGGCACAGAAAGAGTCGTGGACAATGGACGACACGACGTGTCCAAATGGAGCACAGTTCATTGCGCCGTGTCGAGCGGTTCCTGCTGCAACTGTTGACGTGAATGTCCAAGAACGTACGTGGTGTGAGCCGGAGATTGAGCTTGGGGTGAAGCTCTGGGTGAACAAAGCATTTACTGCCACTGAGTCACGAAGCAGCGACTTGGAGTCGCCACCTAATGTGTCGTCAAAGGTTGCGGTTGTCTTGGGTCTGTGTCTCGGCGTCTGCGTCCTCGTGAGTGTGCTGTTTCTCATCATGTGGCGTCGAGCCAAGAGCTGGTTGAAAAACGGTCTGCCTGAAAACGAGCACAATACGTTTTTCGTGCAAGCGCACTCGTTCCAGAGCGAGCTGGCTCCGCTAGAAGAGAATGGGGGCAGAACTGGATCCGGACACTGTGCTGAGGAGAATGAACTTTGCCCGTCGCTTAGTAATGCATTGCAGATTGAAGCAATAAACGAGAGCTTCCGGATGCGATCGCCAGAGCTCGCAGCTTTCTGTGATGATCAGGAGCTCATGCTCAAGCGTATTGCCTTTGCAGGTCTTGTGTACCGAAAACGAATGGCAAGTGGACTGCATGGTGAGGTCTGGCGCGGTGAGTACGAAGGACAGCAGGTCGCGATCAAGCGCACCAATGCATCAGTTGCTGCAATTACTGCCGCTGCAAGCGCAAGTCGAAGGTCGTCGTTAGCTTTGGATGCTTCCGTACTGCTTAGTGACAAAGAGCTGAAGATCCTCGTGGATTTTACAAAAGAGATTCGCATGGCTGCGTTTTTGGACCACCCGAACATTGTCCGTTTCGTTGGACTCTCGTGGCGTACACTGCCCGACCTATGTATGGTCTCAGAATTTGTTGCACTTGGTGACCTTGCCCACTTTTTGGCCCAACCAAGTGGCAAGAAGCTCACATGGAAGGATGACAAGTTGGCTCTTGCGGCAGATATCTCCAACGCGCTGGTGTACTTGCACTCGCTGTCACCTGTAGTACTGCACCGCGATCTAAAGTCGCTGAACATTCTCCTCACCAAAGACCTACAGGCCAAGCTGAGCGACTTTGGACTAAGTCGGGAAACAAGTTTTGATGGAACAATGACCAGGTGTGTAGGGACTCCGCTTTGGACAGCGCCTGAGGTGTTACGCGGTGAGCGGTACTCTGAGAAGGCCGATATCTATTCTTTCGGCGTTGTGCTTGCGGAGCTGGACACGTGTTTGCTTCCGTATGCATATAGTCAGGGCCGACAAACTAAAGGCAAAAATGACAGGGACTGGGTGCCGCTGATTGCAAGTGGACACGCTACCCCTATGTTCCGACCCGATTGCCCGCGAGCACTTCACGAGCTTGCCGCACAGTGCCTCGATCAAGACCCGAACAAGCGTCCACCAGCCATGCAGATTGTGTATTTGCTCCGGTCGAAGATCCCGCTCACGTTGTGAAGTCGCCCAGTTCAATTGAGGTTACCAGTCTTCTGAGCAGGAGAAATGGCAGCAACGAGTCTGTGCTGATCGTGCTCGCTGGCCAGTAGACAGACACGCATGACAATGTTACCACTTGGCATGCACAGGTCTCTCTCGATGAACAAGCAAAGTGGACCCAGTGGTGTCGAGCACAGTTGCGTTATGTGGATAACGCGTTCGGTGACGAAACACGAAAAACTACTGCTGCTGTTTGCGATGAAGCCGATCGATGGTCGGAATGGAGCAGCTTTGAGACAGTCTGTAAATTTGGCATCGAGGCTGTGTCACCGACGCGATGGCGTCAGGGCGACTGTAAAAGTTTGACAGGGAATACTTTGGGTAGCCAGCGCCAGTCAATGAAGTTTACTGTCTCAGCGAAAGCTGACGCCATGGCTGCTGTTTTCGCAGAAGTGGCAAATAAGCCTCCTGCTCTCGTTTGAGAAGTTCTGGCAGCTAGTCTCTTGGAAATGAAACGAAAGCTGGTCACGCGCATTGACTACGTTCACTGATGGCGGACCTCTTGGGGATCGTTTGTGAGCATCCCATTGATGTTTTGGGTATACCTGGTGAAGTTCGAGCCAGAATAATGTCTACATTCACCCCTCGTCGACACGTTGGACTGCCAGAAAGGCACAGACTACGTCTTTGATGACAACCTCGTCTTGTACAGTGATGCCACATTTACTTATTATTGGAATTACCACATAGATCGACACGAGAGAAGACGATGGTGGCAGATAAACTTTGACTGTCCGGCTGCGTCGTTTTTGCGATGGCCGTGACAGTTTGAGCCCTGTTTGTGGTACGCCTGCAGGCAGCAAGTGAGCGATTGTCCCAGTTATCGCAGAAAAATGTGCACAGCATGGTACGGTCACAATTGTACAGGCAACTATCATTACAACTATCGTTATGGTCTTCAATCGTGCAGTCTTCGGACCAGGAACTCGCTGCGGAAGTCTAACTGTTGATGACACTGATGGTATGGTCTCAACACTTACTACTCGTTATTCCCCGGTTCCAGTCTGGGTAAATGCGCGCATCAGCAGCTGCATCTGATATAGTGCTTGTGATGCCGTGGGTCGTTCGTCGGGATCAAAAGCTACGCACTTAGTACCAAGCTGTACCATTACTTCCCATGCGCGAGAACTTGGTGGAGTGAAGCTCACGCGGAGCTTGTCACAGGAAACAAGCTGGAGAATGGCTGTATTTGGAAGAACGCGTCCAGTCTCGGTGATCTTGGCACCTGCGTACGGTAGCTTGTGCGAATCCAATTCACTGAGCACGATGCCGAACGAGAAGACGTCTGCTTTTTCATCGTACCGTTCGCCGAGCATGACTTCAGGCGCCATCCACAACGACGTGCCTACGCCTCCTGTCATTGTGCGGTCACTGCGCTCCCGAGAGACGCCAAAGTCGGTGAGCTTGGCCCGCCGGTTGCTATCCAGCAGAATGTTTTTCGACTTGAGGTCGCGATGTAGCACCACAGGGTCGAGACAGTGCAAGTACGTGAGTGCATGTGCGACATCCAATGCAATACGAGCTTTTTCCGCATCAAAGCCCATGGGACGGTGATCGACATCATCGAATTGGATCAGAAGCCCTCGCAGATCTCCACCGTCGATGAACTCGGAGACTCCACATAAATCTGTGAGCGAGTCCCATGCTACGCCAATGAACTGCACGATCCGTTCGTGCTCCAAAGCTGCTTGCAGCTTGAGTTCAGCCAGAAACTCGTCGATTTTGATCAAGCCTTTCCTCGTTTCGGGCAGCAACCGCTTGATTGCAACGTCGCGGTTTTTGTACGTCCCTCTAAGTACTTCTCCGAATCCTCCCCGACTAACGACCGCACCAATCGTGAGTTTATCCATGGGAATACGTGCGGCCACGATAGCAGGGTCGTGCCATAATTCCCTATGCCCTGAACTTGACTCCATCAAGTCGATGTTCTTACTATTGGTGTTCGCCGATGGATCACTGCTGCTCGTCCTATGGACGTATTTCCCTGCACCGTTGAAGCTCTCGCGACTTCCAATGGACCAAATCCGACCGTGTGTCGTCAATGAGTCGAACGAGTCGAGGTCTTCAGAATCGCCACAGCCCCGTCCAAAGCCATCGAACTTGTGGTCGATCGGGTCGTTGGACGCCAAATGCTGGCTGGACGAGTCCAAAGTACCGGTAGAGTGTTTGAACTCAGCAGGAGACGCTACACGGATGTTAATGGGCGACGTCATGACGTAGAAATGATTGTGGGTATCGGTTAATTGCGTGCATTCCAGTTCAGAGAAATCGTTGAACAACGTCCGGGTGGTAGCTGTTGTCATGCCTGGAGACAACTGACTGGTCGGGAAAGTGGATGTTAAGTCGACCCAGGGCTCCAGTACGAGCTCCTTGTTGCGTTTGCGCTCTTTGCAGTAGAACACGAGGCCTGCGACGATAAGAAGAGTGGACAAGACACATACAGAAGCTCCAATGATGACGGCGTATGCATGATCGCTTGGCAGAGTGTCACCGGCAACGACCAATTGTCGCCTGACGGTTTGCAGCATTGAAGTGACAACGGCCAAGAGCAGAACGCTGTGGTTCTTCGGAACCACTTAGTGGATGCCCTGATTGCAACAGGAAGTGCGTCACGAGACTGTAAATGCAATTGTTGCATCACACCCCTTGACTGATGGTTTTTAGCGCTTTTACAACGTAACGCTTTCTCATGATGGGATCAAACAGCTGAAAGTGCGATATTCGCTCTGTGTCGCAGTAGCTCGCACCACCCAATTTGATGAAGCGAATCGAGTGTGGTACGCAAATAAGGAGCTGCTGCAGTGTCAATTAGTTATCGATTTAAACGTGACTTCGTACGGGCGATTGGAATGGGCTCAGTCGTCGGTGTATATCGTAGGTAGTGGTTATATTATAACACTCTTGGGAGGATACAACCGACACCGTATCGGGACTTTTTGTGCTGTTTAGTATCGTAAATGCCAAGCTGAGGGCGTCAGTCTAGTGTGAGAAGTTTGATCTCACCTAATTGGGATAAACTAGATTTGTTGCTTTGTAGTTAAGGAAGGGCTATCGATAGAGAAGTTCGTATACCAACTTAGTCGTGTACTTCTACCATGCGTGTGACTTCTTCACCCACAATCACTGTGTGGTGTGCCAAACGACCATCAGCGTCATGGACGCTATGGTAACGCTTTTGAAAGTGTGCTCGGCCGTAAACATGATTTTAAGGACTTGCATCTACGTGACTGTTCTGCAATATGCTAGACAAAGTCCTGTTGGAGTTGGTAATGATATCAATTGCACACGATGATGGATGCGAAAGGGGAGCTACGTGGGATTTAAAACGACGATAAAACGTAGAAGGAGTGGTACCAGGTGTGACTTTAGCTGCGCTTGTGAAAGTCCCGGCTTCAGAATGCAACAGCATCTAGCGCTTTTGAACGCCGAAACGTGGTCAAGTGGTGTGGGCCACACGTTCTTGCGCGGCAACAAGCACGTAATCACACAGCGTGATGCATCCAATCCAATCAGGTTCGGCACAAGCGTTCGTTGACACTCGATCCCTCATCTATCCGGTAGACGTGACACACTATACCGTATACAAGTGAGCATTGCGGCACAAAAGGAACAACATCCTGTGCCTTCAACCCCCCCATTGGGCACTATTTTTCAGCACACACTCCCACCGGACTACGGTTCAGTCTCTCTGCTCGTAAAAGATAGCACCAAATGGACTCGACACCCTGAAGATCTCAGCAACGCGCAACGCGCATTGCGCATTCCGCATTCTACCATCTTCAACCTCAACCTCAACTCTCGTGACCATCACTCTGCAACCACATGCTTTCCGCTCGTCGATTGATGCGGCGCCACGTGCCTCCTCCACGCAGCGCCTCGTCGCCGCTGCGCCGTCTCCACCAGCAGCAACAGGGGGGGGAGAAGCTCTTTGACAAGATCCTCGTCGCCAATCGTGGCGAGATCGCCGTGCGGGTCATGCGCACGTGCCAGAAACTGGGCATCAAGACCGTCACCGTGTACTCCGAGCCCGACGTGAACTCGGTGGCGGTGCGCATGGCCGATGAAGCCGTGTGCGTCGGCCCGGCGCCGTCCAGCCAGAGCTACCTGAGTATCCCCAACATCCTCCACGCCGTCCAGCAGACGGGCGCCCAAGCCGTGCATCCCGGCTACGGCTTTCTCTCGGAAAACAAAGACTTTTGTCAAGCGCTCGAGGCCATGAACGTCGCGTTCATCGGGCCTGGGCACGCGGCGATTCAGGCCATGGGCGACAAGATCGAGTCCAAGCAGCTGGCGATGGACGCGGGCGTGAACACGATTCCCGGCTTCTTGGGCGAGATCGACACGGCCGAAGACGCTGTGCGCGTGGCGCAGGAGATTGGGTACCCCGTCATGATCAAAGCCAGTGCAGGAGGCGGGGGGAAGGGCATGCGCGTGGCTTTTACGGACGACCAAGTGCGCATGGGGTACCGCTTGTCGAAAGACGAGGCGGCCAGCAGCTTTGGCGACGACCGCATGTTCCTGGAGAAGTTCATTGAAGACCCACGACATATTGAGATCCAGCTCATTGCCGATGCGCACGGGAACGTCGTGCCGCTGCCGGAACGCGAGTGTTCGATCCAGCGTCGGAATCAAAAAGTGATTGAAGAAGCGCCGAGCGTGTTGCTCGATCAAGAGACGCGGGTCGCGATGGGCGAACAAGCGGCCATGCTGGCGAGGAAAGTGGGCTACGTCAGTGCCGGGACGGTCGAGTTTCTCTGTGATAAAGACAAGAACTTTTACTTTTTGGAGATGAACACGCGGTTGCAGGTCGAACATCCCGTGACGGAACTCATTTCGCGCGTCGATCTCGTGGAACAGATGATCCGCGTGGCGGCAGGGCACGAACTGCCCAAGGCATTGCTCGATGGACCCGTGGACATTCATGGCTGGGCGATGGAGAGCCGAGTGTATGCAGAGGACCCGGTGCGTGGGTTTCTACCGTCGATTGGACGCTTGCTGCAGTATAAAGAACCCGTGGAGCTACCAGGTGTGCGTGTGGACTCGGGGGTCGATGAAGGCAGCGACATTTCCATGTTTTATGACCCCATGATCTCGAAACTCATCACGTACGGCAAAGATCGCGCCGAGTGCTTGGAACGCATGAAGGCCGCACTGGACAATTATGTGATCCGTGGCCCAGGCAACAATGTGTCTTTTTTGCAAGATGTGTACCGCCACCCTCGCTTTGTAAGTGGCAAGATCACGACAAAGTTCATTGAGGAAGAGTATCCGGAAGGCTTCGGTGGTGTGAAGCTGACGCCTCTCGAGATGGAGGATCTTAGAGTGGTTGGTGCGATCATGCACCTGAAAAAAGCGGGTACTAGCCGCCAGATGTCGGACCGAGTGCGGTCTATTCCCACGGAAGACTTTGGACGGTTTGACTTTCTCAACAAAGACGAACTAGCAATTGTCTCGGACCAGATAGGTGTCGTGCCTCGCCTACGTGCTGTTACTTCTGATCTGTCATCAGAGCAAGTGATTGCGCTTGCAGAGAAAAATGGACTTGAAAAAGCAGGTGCCCAGCTCTTTGTTAGCGTCGATGGTCCATTTGGAGAGTCAAAGCCTGTGGTTGTCGTGGAGGTCGACGTGGAGAACAAACAACACCAACGCAACACGATGACGCTGGCCAAGGTCGACAAGAAGTGGCACGTCATGAGTGACGTGGACTGGTCACTAAATGGTCCGCTCTTTAAGGCATCGCACACCAAGCAGGATGGAGCGACAGACGTCCTGTTGGCATCGCAAATGCTGCAAGCGCTGTCTGAGGGTTTTCGCATTCATTTTCACGGCGCTGTGCATGACGTGATTGTACGCAACGAGCTGGAGGCAACGTACGCCAAATACATGCAGCCAAAGCCCAAGGTCGACACGTCCAACTTGCTTCTCTGCCCGATGCCGAGCATGCTCGTTTCCGTAGCGGTGGCAGTTGGCCAACAAGTAGAAGTGGGTCAGGAACTGGCTGTCGTGGAAGCCATGAAGATGCAGAACGTGCTCCGCGCCGACAAGAGGGGTGTCATCAAAAGCATCGCTCGGGCAGCTGGAGGCTCTCTCAAGGTCGACGAGGTCATCCTCGAGTATGAATAAACGAGTTGCGTCGTGTTGACGACAGGATTCTTGGCTCGGGTGAAGCAAGTAACACGTCCGACGGCGCTGACCCTAATGTTGGATAACGAACTCAAGTGATTGTCAAGCTCGGCACCTGATCGAGACGATCAAGACAGGGTAGGAACAAATCACAAATACTGCGGGAAGTTTTCCTTTGTTGCCAACCAAGCGTACATGATGCATCTCGACCGGGCATCTTCGGCACGACAAGCCTCGCGTACGCAGTCGCGTCTTATTTTGTAATCTGCTCGTCTCGTCTACCGTATTTTGTAACTGTTTGTCATTTACTCCCACGACTTAATGCACATGTCACACGTAATCGACCTCAAAAGTCGCTTATAATCCTATTCGATCACGATGGAAGAGGAGAAGGTGCCCAAGCCAAAGGCTGCACCGCCACGCAAAGCCTTCGTCTCGGGCCAAAGCCACTCGCATGGAGACGCTCATGTGACGTGGGATGAGGAAACCATTGCACTTCATGACATGGATCGCGGCACGCGCATGAAGATCGAGGAACCCAATACGCCGTATCATTACTATGTAGAGAGTGATCAAGTGGGCGCGGTGTCGCCTGCTCGGAGTTTCTCCGGTCAGCCCTCTATGCAGGTATAACGTGACGTGTATATCACTAATAAGGATGTATCTGTTTTTCACCAACTGAAAATAAATTACTGACGAAAGTATTGATAAATGTGCATTCTAGTGGGATGAGCTGCAAGCTAAACTACGGGATGTGGAAAATACGACGCAAGATGAATGGGCAGAGAGTGACGCAGAGAGTTCAAGCTCGGCTTCGAAAGGGTTGAACTTTGCCGCTCGAGACTCGGAGGGGAAGAAGATTCACAAAGATCCGTCGTTTGCGGATAAGCGCAAGAACCACTACAACGAATTTGAGCGAGTTCGGAACTGGAAGATGCAACATGGAGAGGAGGAGGACGACGACGGCAATGGCGGCGATCGTGATGATGAAGAGGAAGAGAAACGGGTAGCTTAGCCATTGTTGTAACATGCCTGAAATACTGATTCACCACTTTTCTTGATACCATGAAGCTCTAGGTAAAAAAAATAGGTGATGAAGTCGCGGGTAGGAAACAAGATCGACAATTACTCGTGAGCTCAACTTTGCTGCTACCTCGATACTGTTTGACGACTTTTACAGTCCACGACGATCGAGTGATCGCAGACAGCATGGACTTGTGAGCTAAAATTAGGATCGAGAAGCCGTTATTTACCTCTCGAGGACGTTCGTTCCATTGTGCTTTCACAGAGGACTCCGCACGGAGCTTTTCACTCCGATTTCGTTCATTCCAAAACCGCCGTTTAACCCGAATAAGGCGTAAAAATGTCGTCCGACTGTTGCAACAATGGGACTCGGCCCGTTTCTCGCACGTTCCAAGTCTCACGTCGCGACCAACCACCGCTCAGTGGTCCTTTTTTCGTTTCAAGTCAAGAGCTACGAAAGTCGATCTCGTCATTTCTCATGCAGGCCACTAATCCCAGTACGAGTTCAAGCCAGCAAAGTACCACAAGCTCCTACGGCAGTAACTTAAATGCCAGTCAACTGCTGATGGTGAATGTCAAAGACGCTTTTGGAAGCGGCGATGGCGAGAAATCGCGACTGCTGCATCAGCTCAAGACTGAACGTGGAAAAGCAGGAGGAGACGGCGATCCGTATGTCCAGTCTACCCACGCCCAGGAGAACCACTTAAAGGGTGGCGAGTACATTAAAAGTGCTGTCTACGGTGGTCTAGATGGGATCATCACGACCTTTGCCACCGTCACGTCTGTTGCTGGCTCGGGTCTTCCACATGCAGTTATCCTCATTATTGGCCTCGCTCACTTGGTAGCAGATGGACTCAGTATGGGGCTAGGAGACATGCTGAGCAGTCAAGCTGAAGCGGATTTGGCCAACCACGAACGGTCTCGAGAAGTCTGGGAGTTTGAAAACTACCCAGAAGGAGAGATCGATGAGATGATTGAGGTTTACGAGAAAAAGGGCGTCTCTACTGAAGACGCTCGACTTGTGGTCCAGACACTGGCCAAGTACAAGGAGGCGTTCATTGACATTATGATGGTCGAGGAACTTAATCTCATGCCTGTGGATGCAGAGGACTCGCCACTGACTGGCGGCCTCATCACGTTTCTCTCTTTTATGCTCTTTGGCATCATCCCGCTGCTCTCGTACCTGGTCAACTTGGTGCCTGGTATCGACATGAGTCCAACGACGACGCTGTATCTGTCGTGCTTCCTTACAGTTGTCACACTGTTCTTGTTGGGTGCCGTGAAAGGCAGATTTGTTGGACAAAAGATGTGGAGAGCAGGTGGCTCGATGGCGATCAACGGCACCATTGCGGCTGCATGTGGGTGGGTCATTGGGTACTTGCTGCAGCTCACAGGCATCCAGAATGTTGGATAAGAGGCTGCATCGGGTCTGTCGTTGGCGTTCCTGAAGACCGGCATGGTTGGTGAATGGTGTTCAGATGCAGCGAGTCCGGAACGCTGGTAGCAGCTTGATGCACGACTTGTCGTGACTAAAGGATCATACACGTGTTTCATGCTCTGGATGTTTTATTGTTGTTGTTGTGGTTGCTGTTGTTGCTGCTGTTGTTGCTGTGCTGCGAAAGGAATGTGGATGAACCGACTCACAGTCCCTCGACGAAGCCGGTCATCGCGCGGAAGACGTCGATGCACGAGACGTCAGATTGGACACTGAGCACGAGCAGCACAGCGAATAACATGAAGCCCGTGGTGAAGAGCATTGTCCATGGGGCGATGGGTTTCAGCACAGCTGCAAACTGCAAGTCCAGGTCGAATAACGGAGACTGCAGTGCCGATCTGAGGATCAGAAAGTTGTGCAGACAGCCGCTGTGCGAGCCAACACTCAGAATGCGTCCGTCAGGAGTCCATTGAAGGTCTTCGAAACACGACGAGAGTGTCTGTATTGGTCCACTGCTCGAGCTAGATCCTGGAATGTCCGTAAGCGTAGCTGGCGAAGATGTGGGGGAAGGAGATCCACTAGTTCCAGAGGCGTGAGAACTTGGTGGAGCCGGTTCTTTGTCCAAATACTCCACCGCGATCTCTTTCCAGTCGCTCATTCGCACGACCTTGATACATTTATCTCCGCAAGTTGCGACCATGCCGTTCCCTTCGTGGTACACAATCTCACGGAGTGCGTGTTCGTGGAATTTGGCGCAGTATTGCTCTTGTCCGATCTCGTTCAAATGGGTGGAGATGATGACAACGTAGCCCGACGAGAAGCCCGCGATGATGTACCCGTTGCCGAACCACTGATACGAGACAACGTTGCCGTATCGCGCCTGAAAAGCCAACTCCAGCGCGTTTTCCCGCTCATTCAAATCGTACAGCAGTATGGTCTTTCCACCCATATTCACCGACAAGATAGCATCTTTGTTCCCTCTTTTGCTGCCAAACTACAGCAGTAACAGAACCACCAAGCACAGATGAGATAGAATCGAGCAACATCTTTGTCTATCAACAGAACGAACGATGCCCGTACCGTGACACTTCGTGGCGACGCCTTGATCTTGACCTGGTCAAACGTGCGTCCCGAGGGCAAGCAAATGGTGATCTGTCGGTCATCGGATCCGAACGCGAATTTGTTTTTGAAGTTCCAGGCTCCACAGACGATGCGTCGCTTGTGCTTGCTCGCCACTTGGGTCTTTGTACCCGTCGCATGGTCGTAAATATACACTCGTCCTTGATTAGTACCGATAGCCACCTGCACATGAACAACAACCACCACAAGAGCAAATCAAGAGCCATCACGCGCAAAAAGTCAACACCTCGACCCGCTTGATAATCAAAACTTGTTGCTTTATGTATCAACATTTTCGTACCAGCAAAGAATGCGACGATTTCGACCATTTGATGAAGGAGATATCTTTGCACGGCAGGTCCACAACTTGATGCTGCTGAATCTTCTTAGGCTCCCACAGCACGAGTGATGCAGACTTAGCCTGTACAATAGCCAATATATCTCCATTTTCGCTCCAGTCGAGGAAGGTACACATGCTTTGAAAGACAAGGGAGAGAATTGCATATCGACACTTTGCTTGCCAGCCATTCAATGAATTAGAGACAACTAATGGTACCTTGGAGACGGCAAAACGAGCTGATCCACGAGTTTTCCACGCCGGTTACAGATTTGAGCGACGCGAGATGTTCCGGAAGACGCGACGTACTTGCCGTGGGGATCCCATGCATATTTGATGGCACCCGCGCCGTGATGACGAGCGTCGACTGAAAAGATCCTCAACATGGTTCTTTTCGATACTGTTGGATCCGACTAGTAAACGAGAGTGGTGATTTGCAGCTTAATTCGTGGAGTTCACTGAGCCTAAAGGAGGTCGAAACAGTTCCGTTCGGGATATCCATCTCCCCATACATGTCTGTATGAGACGAAATGGGAGATATCTCGAGGCGGCTTTGTACGGTAGAAGCGGGACATGAACCTTAGCACCGAATCGGTAGCGATGGCCAAGTTTCGATCGACGTCTACACCGCTATAGTTGTATTTAGTAGATACTTCAATGCTTGAAAATACGAAACAAAGCACTTCGCCTGGTTCAATCCAGCGTCGTTTGTAGAACCCCTCTTAGCATTTCCATCACTTGCGTCTGCAAGTACGCAATTACGTCCTCCTTTGCTTTGGTGTCATGCAGCATGCTATGGTCATCGTAGATGAGTTCTGCATGCAAAAGACATGGGTCTGATAGCGTTCGGTTCAAAGTGTAAGTAGATGTCGAGTCATTCGAGAAAAAGGTGTCACTCAGAACGCAAACTCGTGGACAGCAGTCGTTTGCCATCATCTTCCAGCTCATTGAATGCATTGGACGTAAGACAAATGCTGCAAACATGGAGACGTCAATGGATCCTCACTACTGGAACTTACCGTCTGGCTGTAGCTCAAAGACGTAATCGATGTGCACTTGTTGGTACATCTTCAGCTACACTTACTGCACCTCAAGCTCGAAACGTTAGTGACTTTCGTGTCGGTGTCTTGGGGTTGGGAGCCATTGGGACCATCTTCTTCATTCGATCGGGGCGGTTGGCTGCGGTTTCCGAGACTAAAAAGGAGCTGCCGATACTTTCTGTCGATGCGCTGATAAAAGTCGAGCAATTCGATACGTGGGTGAAGAAGAAGAAGAAGACGGCGACGATGCAGTTGATTCATGATGGACAGGAGACCGAGACGCTGGAATTTCAGGGGCTTACTACTGCCGACAAAGTAGCAACGGCTTGCAACGCGTCAAACGTTCGGGTTCGTGCGCTTGGAGGAAGTACAGGAGAACCCCACGATGGTCACAAGCTGGATGTCTTGTTGGTCACAGTGAAAGCACACGATAGTGTTGGTGCAATCCGATCACTTCGAGAGAGGCATCGACATGTGTTAAAAGATGACGCTCTGTGTGTATTGCTCCAGAACGGACTGGGAGAAGTGCCGACAGTGGAGAACGGGGAGAGAATCGATAATCGGTGGCAATTTGGTAGTGGCGTGACGTTTGTTGGTGGACGAGTGCTAGAATTTGCTAAGGTGAAGACAAGTGGACTGGAAGCTGGGAAGACGTACGTCGCACCGCTTCATAGACATGGAGCGGAGACGGGACTGAGTGGACTAGAGGACACAATGACCATGCCAAGAGAACATGATGATGTCAAGATGCAGATGCTTGTCGACGTCCTCGTTGCTGCAGGTTTGGAAAGTATGGATCTTGTGTGTGTTGATGGTGTACTGCTTACAGTGAGGTTCGGCTATCAAATGTGTGACAGGCATTCATTGCAAAGTACTGGGAAGCAACGAGATGCAAGCTATGCTCTGGCACAAGCTAATCATAAACGCGGCAATCAATCCTCTTGCGTCCCTGTTGAACGCACCGAACCGGGTCAGCTTTAAATTTCGGTACAATGTCGTGTGCTTAACCTCCTGTTAACAAGAGGAACGTCTGGTGTATGTTTGGTTGCAGAGTGTGGCAAGCAGCGAAAGCAGTCGACGTTGTGTCCATTTAGTGGTGCAAGAGGCGCTTGCAGTCGCGCATTGCGAGCAAATTCTGTTAAATCGCTCTCAGAATGTACGAACAGTGGCTACCCGATTTCGATCATGAGCTGACATTGTTCACGGTTACAGGAACTCGTGGATGATGTCCTAGAGGTGGCCCGCACTACTGGATCGAACGTGTGTTCCATGCTGGCAGATCTGCGTCGCGGTTCCAGCAGGTAAGGATTTCCTTCTTTGCTAACGTTGTCATTTACGCTTGACCTTGTGCAAGGTTATTGAATCGAATCGTTGACACTTGCGTCAAGTAGAACGGAGATCGATGCAATGACCGGACGAATTGTTGCGGGTGGGAAGCGGCATGGCATCCCCACACCGACAAATGAGTTGTTGCTGTTGCTGGTCAAGGCACTTGAGGAGGAACGTGAAGTAAGGCAATCTCGATAACTTTCCATGTCAAGTTTGACCCGAGGAACGTGAACCTGAAGCACGAATAGTGACGTGACTGCTTTGTACGTGACTTCCGTCATCTTGAAACAATTTACAACGCAATCGAAGCGATTTGTTGTGAACGGTTGTGCCTCACTGGACGTCCTGGGCAGTTTCTACTTCGATTCGTTTTCGCCGACGTTGCATAGTGTAAGCACGTACAGGCTCAGTGAAGCCATTGCGCGATCTTGCATGCATACGCCTTTGTTCTTTAGCTTCGCTTGGTGCCTGATGAGGAAGTGAACGTGCTTTTTTGTGCTGCACTTGACGTCACATCCTTTCACTTTCTTGTTGTCATTGCAACACTATAGCTAGGTTATAGTCAACTAGGTATTGTGCATACATGAAGTCGATTATATCATGCTCTTGATGATATACGCGTGATGCCTGCGAGCGCTCGTGTGACTGTAAGGGTCGAATATGCTATCTAGAGAAGGATAACAGTAGTACGTACACCACTGGCGACTAACGCGTGGAAAGCTATCGTGCACTACACTAAGAACTGACGGAGAACCGCTCACTGGAAGTATAGTGTCATCCTTCGATGCGCAAATGAGCGTTGCAAAGCTAAGATTCAATAAGCTTTAACGCTGGCAGTTGAATACCAAGTGGGAGACTACTAGCGTCTGAGCGGTCCGCAACTGCATGAATGCTCGGAAAGACCACGTGCAAAATGTGGACACCAAAACGCTCCTTGGTATCTGCTATCAGGCTGCAAGTGTGTTATCCATTCCAAGGTTATCACTGCAGTAATGTGGTTGCAGGTAGCCGTCGTCAACATTGTGCTGATCAACCAGACCCTTCTTGCTACTTCACCTCAACATTTGACGTTGCCAGATGCCTGAATTCTGATCTTGCTAGCACGGCAGCTACTGTCGACCTCGATTCCAATCAGTGGATTGACACACTGTTTCGCCGTGCAGCTTCTTTTCGACTCGCAAATAGCACATCGAGAGCACTCCCCGTTTGCGTCCCATCGTCTCTAGCTCGTGTCAGCGACATCAATTTCCATTGCGTGCACTATCGTCTAAACCACTTGCTCCTCTGTCTCATCGACGAACGGTCAGTGGATCGTACGGCTAGATGGCTTGCTCTCGATTGTGGAGGTGCAAGGACTCGCGGCCATGTTTCACATGTACTTCATTCACTCTAGTAAGCACCTTGTATCGCATCTTGCGAATATGTTGTTATTTGCCACAACCCCTCCCATACTCGGTTATGCTGGTGCAGATACAGTGCGGCGTGGTGACTGTAAGGTCCGTTTGCTCCTATTTGCTTTTCCTGATGTCGACAGAGTCATTTGGCAGCCAGCAACAGCCATGAGATCACGGGCGTTTTACTCACTGCGGCGGTTTACTGACTGAGCCGATAGTATCCATCAGCTGGTCGAACTTCAAGCCCATAAACATGGGATTTTGTAGAGTCACTGGACGTCTACCAAGCGCCTGCACTTTCGATGTGCGGAATGCAGCCGGCTTGTGCGAGGCGGTTTATGTTCTGCATCACCCTATCCATCTGCAGCCATTAACAAGAATGGGTCAGTGGTCACTCACAGTGACACACACGGTTTCGGTGAGATAGTAAAAGAGTCATCTTTGATCGCTATTATCGTTGCTTGTGACGTAGGCATCATAACATTTCAGTCCGAAGTGGCATCTTGCAAAACTTACTTAAGCGCGACTCTTGCAGTAAGGCCACGGATCTTGTCACAGTCGTTTTTAGATCACGTTGCAATCCTCTGAAACGTGACCGTTTGACGCCTGATGCAGCGTTTGATTGGCCAGTACTGGTAAGACAGACGAACAGAGGGATTCGGGGAGTGATGGGAGGGAGAGAATGCTGGTCGATCCTGATCATTCCCATTTATCTAGAAAATGGGTATCGGATTTAGCTCTGGATGCAATATTCGACATCTCGAATATCCCCATTTAATGTCCAAAGTCTACTGTCGAATCATCCACTGCGCGAGGTTTTGTGCACCTGACAGCCACGATGTCGCCAATAGATAGAAATCGCGAAGATAGAGGAGCAAACTCTGGAGCTCGCCCTTAGATAAGACAGGGGAGCAAGATCTGGAGCTCGCCTCATGATGTAAGTAGTCCAGCTCGGACAACTGAATCAAGTTGCAAAACACTTTAGAACAGCAGTAGTGACTGAAGAAGGAGTGTGGCGGTGTTGTTGTCTGCATTAACTCAGAACAGTAGTGTACTTGGCCACCGCGATCAGCCTTTGCTTATGAGCGTCCAGTGTTGCATGCCAATGTGGTCATACTCACCTTTGGTCGATTTTTCAGTCGATCACAAGCGTGCGTCTCAAAAGTGATGCAGCCAAAGAGTGACTACGTACATGCCTCAATACCTATGTGGTGGGCACAGGCGGATCGCACTTGGTACGGGTAAGCTGCACCTAGCCGCGTTATTTACCGACACACACAGACAGATAAGTACGATTTAAAAGCTCGGCATTCAACCTTGCGCACACTCACTAATAGCTTTACCCTTCGGGCTCGCAATAAGTAATTCAGCTCACAGAACTGAATCGAGTTCTGCATATTGACGTAACTTGCGCCCAGTCACTAATAACTTCACCCTTCGGGCTCGCAACAAAAGGACTATCAGTCCCACGAAAAGGTACACGCTACTCTATCTTAGTTCTGATACATTGACATGCATAATTGCTGCGTGGTGGCGGTTCCCTTTGCTTTTGCACTCTTTGACGTGAGCTTGTAGATCGAAGCAGCAACCGACTCCTGGTGCAGGGCATCACCTGTACACCATTGCGAGTGCGTTAAGCGCTCTTAGGTACGAGTAGCTAGAGCACTTGAACATTTAAACGCGCATGAAACCTTGACGTATAATCGCCGCTAGCATCAATACAATACTAGATTGACGTGTGTGCTAAGCAGACGACCTACCCGGGTGGTAGTTGATACTAGCTAGATATTTGACAAAGACATATTGAGACTGCGGTGCGTTTGAGTCAAAATTCGTCTCAAATACTCTATATTTCTCGTGCCGTGACATTATTCTCAACTGAACAGGTCTGCTAGATATCTGACTGGCTGGTGCGGCAGCGAGAGACGTGGATACGCTGCAGAATTGGCTGAATCAATTTGTACTTTAAGCTGTTGCTTTCTGTGCGCAAATGATTGAGCGAGGCCGGACTTGAGCTCAACTTTTGTACTGGCTCATGACGTTTTAGAATCGTGCGTGTGAGTAAATACATGTGATACACACTCTGGACCCTTAACATTTGCAGTAAGACGCTACACATGAATATATCTCATCAAATATAACCCGGTCAAGCCTGTGGCATTCATGTGAGGCAACAAATGTGCGTGCAAAACACTGATGTTTAATTCATTCAGAATCCAGGTAAACCGAGAGTTACAAAAGCTAGTGAGCAAAAAACAACAGGATGAACCAAACGTAGATATCGATTCCCCATGTACTGCGGTAATCGAATGCGTCGAATCCATCGCTTCCACTTCGTTTGCATGATCTAATAGTAGCATTTATCGGATCCTTGTTCCTAGTTTGGCCATTCGCGTTTAACGAACACAAAAGGCGAGCTGCAACGGTGACACAAATGGCCGACGACGACCCAAATGGACGACGATGGGTGCAAAAAGAAGATTTTTGTGTAGAAATGAGATGTTGGGTGTAGCAAACATCCAAAGCTAAATCAGGCATCTTATTCTGAATATTTGGGAATGATCGTACGCGACCAGCAGGTCCCACTTTCTCTTCCTCCCATCACTCCCCCCACCCTCCGTCCGTCTGTCTGTCTTTGCTAGAACGGATCGAATGCTTGCATTTAGACATAAATTGGTCGCATTCGAACGGACTGGATCATCATCCAAAATGATGGTTGCACAGTCTGTGGCCTTATTGCCAATTTACTAACCAAACACAGCTACGAAGGTACGTAGCACGTACGTGTTTACAGGCAAAAGGTGGCGGTAGTTTGCTGAAATCTTACAGCTCTGTGTCCAGTTTGTACGTATAGGACAGCAGTGGTCATTCTTAGCCTCAGAAAAAGAGATTCGAATTCGGAGCCGGTGGGACCAGATAGGAGACCTGATGTGGAGCAAGTCGTACCGAATCTGGGAGCTCGTCGGATCAGATACGAGCCCGCGGTTACAAATTCGGAAGCTCGTCAGACCAGATGCGGGCTCGCGGTTACAAATTTGGAAGCCCGCCGATAACTGGTGGTCCTCACGGTGCGACCACGAAGTCCCCCTCACAGGTCTCATCACTCATTTCTCTCATTTTGCAATCTGCCAGCAAGCCCGTGGACCACATCATGCGTCTTCTGTTGTGTTTGTCATCGGCCTTCGCCACCGACCCCAGTGGCCGAGTGGTAGACCGCTGGAACTGGGACCGGGAGGTACCTGGATCGATACCCGGTGGGGGTTCGATTACAGGGCGCCGGAGATAGGCTAATAATGTAGACGAGCAACCACCAATGGGTGGCCGGTGCCGTCCGGAGGCCCTACAAGCCGAAAAGCCCTATAGTGTAATGAGGGGTGCGGGTCCTGTAAGGAGTTCAAACTGAGTCAGAGTACTCGCAAATCACCCCAGGGTGATCTGAAGGACCGCGCGGCATAAATCTCATCGGCCTTCGCCATTACTTCGGCGAGCGCTGAGTCAACCGTGTCAAGCAACAATCAAAGCAGCAATGGCGACGCTCTCGACCCACCCACTGTTGCCGATCCTGTGGTGACGAGCACATCCGTCGAGCAGAGTCAATCGGAGTCTGGGGAAGCTGTGGGCGATGACAGCAGCGACGACGACCACATTCAAGAAGAGAGAGTACTGCCATCACCCTTTAGTCTACTCGAGGCACCTCGAGCAGAATTGATTGGTCCTCGCCACCCAGCTGCCTTTGTCGAGAAAATCGGTGTCCAAGCGCGTGACGAGTGGGTGGTCGACAGTGTGAAGCTGAAGGACTGGCTTTATCAAGTAGAAGAGTACCGAGGTCAGGGGAAAGTCTTCACCGACGAAGAGATGGTCAACGTGCTACTCGAACTCCACAAAGAACACAAAAATTCCCTACTGAAAGCTCTCCTATCGCTTCGGGATGACCCCTCTATGGCACTACGGGCTGACGCTTTGACCACAGCGCTTTGCGCCGCAGACACGGATGTTCAATTCTTGGCGTACAATGTGTGGCTCAACGCGAAAGTGGACCCCGACGTCGTGTTCCATCTGATTCCGAAATCTTACATCAAAGGGATACTTCCCGATGCTGTAAATGCAGAGGAGAGTCCCCTTTTCTCGAAGTGTATGTTATGGCTCATTTACGTTGTGCAGTACAGGGGTAAGGGGCTCGTCTTCGATGACCGTTCGGTGGTTCGAACGTTGCTTGTATATACCAAGTCGAGGTTTACTGTGGCGGATTTTTTGTCCTATCTTTTGAACCAGCCGGTATGGGCTAGACAGGCCCAAAATTTATTTCGTGCTTTTTATAAAGTTTAAAATTCAGTTCAGTGGTGTTTGAAATAGCGTAAAAGTTTTGTAGTACTTAAACCTAACAAGAACAATTTTCTTCGGATACTGATTGAGCAGGGTTATCTTGGTAGTTGGTTCATACGACTATCTTGTGGAAAAATCAATCGTGATTTGTTTATGTTAGCTCAAATTGTCTTTGTTTACCTTTTCTTGACCGACAATATTGTCGATGATACTGACACATTCTATCTTATTTTAACGATTTAGTAGATCGTTTGACGCTAAACAATTTAATTTGTAACATAAAATTAACTTGCTCAAATTTCATTTGGTAAATCATCCTTTAAATAGAACAGTGTTGAATCATTTGCTTATTTTTAAACGCTTGTAATAAGCGGGGCAAGAAGCACGAGGTGATGGTAATATTGGTACACAGACAAGTTGCAATCAAGCTACATCAACAATGACAGTCACTTCATTGTCGTCAGAGCTTAAATATCGGCCGCGAGTTGCGTACTGATGACGATGCCAACCATGCGTTTGTTTTACATTTCTTTAACCCTTTATGCATTCTTTCGCATCGAACTCAACGTGTTTTTGGCTCTACAATTTACACCCCCAATCATTCTTCATTGTAAAGGCGGCTAAGGTTTGCATTTCTAACCATTGTTTATTGTAAAGGCTACTTTGGTCGGTATTGTAAAGAAATGTTTGCATGCAGCGAAAAGGTTTACTAGGCAGGGCAAGCTGACGCGTGATAACGTGCACGCTATCTGTAACGGGGTGAATCGTTACATAACAATTTATAAGAAATTGTTAATAGAATATAACTGTAAGAGTAACACTATCAGAATATTGTCATAAGGACAAATATTCTGTAGCGCTTACGAGTAGTTCCTAATTGGTCGAAATAGGCCATTATATCAACCAACGAAGACGCGCCACGACAGACGCACGCTATGAGTGGTGAACAGATACTTCATATACACATTTGTATTTAGACATAGTTAGATGAAGATAAATAGTGATTTATTGCAGACATTAACTATTATAAATACAGTTCTACTTTTTACTTTAACCAAGTACTCGCTTCTTCTTACCGTCTTCCTCTGCACGTACGAGTGTACGTGAAGTTACGAGGCACCGCCTTATTCTGTTATCAGAGTAAGTAGCTTGCACTGTCATCAGTACAAGCTTCAGGGTGCCCCGTTACATCTGGTAGCACTTCGTAGTCCGTCCAAGGACCACGTTCACATCCAACATGAATATTTTAGATGATGAAGATGACCAAAGCTTTCACGCTACGCGTGACGGCTACTCCCATTTGAGCGATGTCGAATGGGATGCGGTTGAACGGATGGGTTCAACCATGGGCATCCATGCTGTTAGCGTCATGCTAGAGGCTCTCAATAGAGATGCCCAACATGCTACTATCGCCAAGTTCATTCAAAATGAACATGACGCCGAACGCGAGAAAGTATCCTTGCTTCATCAACAAGGTTCACACAAGCAGATTTGTTGAGAGAACAGGGTGCTCAACCGTTTGAACTGTTGAGACAGCAGCAGGCTGCTGCTGGCGTGTCGATGCACTCGCGTCGACCCGAGACCTTGAAGATTGACATCTCCAAGTATAGGGGAGTCGAAGAGGACTCTCTCTTGAGATGGTTCGTCGAATTGGATGAAGCCATAAGGGCGCGTCGCATCGACGACGGGGATATGCAAGCTGCATTTGCCCAGTCAAATCTGGCAGGACGTGCCAAGACTTGGGTACTGGGGCTCAAGTGGCACGACCCATATGCGTTTGGGTCGTTGGAAGTCTTCAAGTTGCGGATCAGACAAACGTCTGAACCGCCTGGAGCCGAGTTCAGAGCTCGAACCGAACTCTTGAACTCAAGCAAGGTAAGCGTGATGTGTACGCTTACGCGCAACATATACGACATCTCACGAGTTGTATAAGTTCCAACCCGGTCGATGAACACACGTTGGTTTCGGTGTTCATGCAGGGTCTTGCGGATGGTCCCGTCAAGACTCGCCTGTTCCGACTTGAACTAGATTCACTAGAACAAGCAGTTTCCATTGCGGAACAGGAAGACTTCAGTCTGAGACAGGCTCGCGCAAGCTCGACATCATATCGTCAACCGAGACGATATGACAGCAGAGGTCCAGGGCCGATGGAACTCTGTTATGTAGAGAGCAAGAAGACTCGCTCTACATACTACAAGAAGTTGCAGAGATGCAACAGATGTCAAAAGACAGGACACTACGCTTACGAGTGTAGTGCACCTCGTCCAGTGTCTCGCTACATTGGGCGTAGTGACCGTCCACCCATGAGAAAGGGGCAAGGACGTGGGTCCGCTGTTGGTGCAAAGACGCAACAACGGGATGGACCGTCAAAAACTGAACAGGATCAGTAGGTGCGGCGCACCCTACTGGTACAGCAACGTCAAGAGAATTTGTGGGCCTCTTGATGGAGGTTGCTCCTAACACACAAACGTTGTGCGTTGCTGCTCTAGGTAATGAGATCTCACTCATTGCCTTGAAACTCGAAGTGACGAATAAGTTGTCCCTTCGAGCTCTAGTCGATTGTGGGGCGTCCAACAATTTTGTGCAACGCCAATCGCTAGAAGATGGTCACTTCAAGTTCAGTGAATGTGACACACCTCCTACGAGGATGACGGTACGTCTTGCGACAGGCGCATCCGTAACCGTCATGAAGCGTATAGTGAGGATCCACTGTACGCTAGAAGATACCCAATATGATGATGACTTTATCCTATAGGATTTGGATGACAAATTTGATGTCATCCTTGGAATACCGTGACTCAGAAGGTACGAACCACGAGTAAACTGGCAACATCGAACAGTAACGATGCCTGTCGCTTGTTCACCAGATGGCCATCCGATGAACGTTTTGGAGCGTCCACAAGCGTGTGGATGTACTACGAGTGAGTGCGATGGCCTCACTTGTGTTACGGTCGTTAGTACGACTGCACAAAACCTTAGTGTACCAAACGTTTACACTTCGGAGCAAAGTTCCGGCGGCTGTGAGGAAACACAGGCTGCGCCGAAGGTCCACCACTCGAATAAGTCAGGTGGACTGGGACAAAGATGTATCCCTAGCGGGGAACATCTAGTAGAGAAACCAACGATCGCTCAGGTTAAGCGAAACGATAATCCTAGATTGACTGGAGAGTCTTTCGTAGAGGATCTCGCTGTATTTGCGCAACTCCAGCTAGAGGAAGTTAAGGGAAAAAGTTCCGATACTACAAATACGGTGGAAATAAGTCCCCCGAAACCCGATGGAATAAGTCCCCGGGAAGCCGAAGGAATTAGTTCTTCGAGGCCTGAGGGAATAAGTCCCCAGGAAATGACAGAGACATTGAATGTCCTAGTCAATAACGGATCAAGTGTGGGCGCTTACACACTTGATCTGATTGCGCCTCCGAAGTTAACTTCGGAGATCACTCAGTTGCCAACGCTCGAACATAAAAGGTTCTTGCGTGATCTGCGTAGTGGCAAAGTCAAGCAGATATGCGTACTCGTCGCTGACGACGAGTGTGTAGCCGAGATAAGGTCAGCAACAATGTTCAATGAGAACGAGAGAGTTTTTAGTAGTTCATCGATGGACGAGAGTGTCCTCGATGAAAAGACACGAGTTGAGCGATATGACTCCCAATCGTGGGAATCGCTCAAGACAAATCCTCTCTATGAAGATTTGGTTGAATTCAAGGATGTATTCCCTGAAACTGTTCCGTGCAGATTACCGAAGGATAAAGGTATTCGACACGAGGTCGAGCTTAAACCAGGCTCGAAGTACTGTGTCATTAAGCAGTGGCCACTGCCTCGTGAACAAGTACTTGCGATCGACAAGTTCTTTGCCGATCGTTTAGCTGCGGGCCATGTGAGGGAATCAACTTCCCCACATAGCTCTCCGACTTTCTGTGTGCGAAAAGCAACAGGAGGGTGGCGGATAGTGAAAATGCATTTAAAAAGTTGAATGCTGCAACGGTACCGGCTCAGACGCCGATACCGAGGAAGGACGTAATCATTGATGTTATGTCAAAGAGTACCATCTTTTCGTCCATGGATTTGATGGATGGCTTCTATAAAATCATTATGCGAGAACGGGATATACCCTATACCGCAGTGAGCACGCCTAGCGGCATGCTCTGGGAATGGCTAGTAATGCCACAAGGGCTTAGTAATGCCCCTGCCACGTTCAACAGATGTGTATCACATCTGTTGAGACCAGTACGAGAATTCGCGCCGAGTTATTTCGATGACGTATTCATCCATAGTCGAGCTATGGATGGAAAGTCGGACGTTGAGGTTCACAGGTACCACGTCCGACAAGTTCTTACAATCATGCGAAAGCATCAATTGTATGCAAACCTCAAGAAGTGTATATTTGCAGCAAGCGAAATACCACTTCTTGGGTGCATCGTTGGTAAGAACGGTGTACGTCCTGATCCCGAAAAGATCAAGGCGACCACCGACTGGCCTGTGCCGGTTGATGTCAAAGGTCTTCGAAAATTCCTTGGTCTAGCGGCGTATTTGCATAAGTGCTCACGCAATTACGCAGAGATGACTGTGCACCTCTCTCGTTTGTTGAAAAAGAACGAGAGGTGGTTATGGAACGCTGAATGTCAACGCTCCTTTGAGGGTATCAAGCAGAGCTTGATACAATCCCCAGTCCTAGCAATAGCCGATCAGGACAGGCCATTTCATGTGGTCTGTGATGCCAGCGATTTCGCAATCGGCTGCGCATTAATGCAGTACGATCTTGAAGGCGTTGAACGCGTCGTCTGCTATCAGTCGCGTCAGCTGCAACCAGCTGAGCGGAACTATCCAGTGCATGACAAGGAACTCCTTGCCATGAAGTATGCACTCGCGAAGTTCAGAGTCTATCTATTAGGAGATAGACCCTTCATTGTTTACACTGACCATGCGTCGCTACGCACGGCAGTGAACAGCCCGCACCTTTCACAACGAATGGCGCGGTGGTTGTCATTCTTTGCGGAATACAACTTTACGGTCGAGTACAAACCAGGACGACTTAAGGTCGTCGCTGATGCACTCTCACGTCGTCCCGACTTTGAAACAGTCGCGAAACCCAACAGTGAGACTGTCACTGTTGCGGTTATGACGTCCTCAGTCCCATCTACAACGTTGTATGATGATGTGAGGCGGACATACGCCCAAGATGGTGAGATTGTGAAGTTGTTGTCACATCTCTCCCAACCATCCCGAAAATCGTTGAAACGATTGTCGCCTGCGCATCGATCTGCATCAGATAGATACACTACTCGTAACGGTTTACTGTATTATACAGCCGTTTCTGGTGACACACCACGTGTTGTTATTCCAGATGATACTGATCTGCGTTTGCGGATCATGTTCGAGTATCACGATGCTCCTATAGGAGGACATCGTGGCCGGGAGAAAACAAATCTCACGGTAAGTCGAGACTTTAACTGGCCCCGCCAGTATCAGTTCGTGCGCAAGTATGTTCGCGCATGCTAAGTCTGCCAACGAGCGAAGTCAAGTCCTTCACTGCGTGCACCTTTACAGCCTCTACCGGTTTCGGCTGAGTGCTGGAAATTCATCTCAATGGATTTCGTCTTCGGGTTACCCAAAGACGCACGCGGGAATACGGGTATTCTCGTATTTGTTGACAGATTCAGCAAAATGGTACACCTTGTGGCTGTACCAGAGACAATCACGGCAAGTGGCTGTGCTTGTGTCTTTATTGACACCATCTTCCGACTTCATGGGTTGCCCCGTGAACTCGTATCAGACAGAGATCCACGATGCACTGCTGATTTCCGGCGTTCCGTGTACAAATCACTCGGGACGCGCTTGAAGATGTCTACATCTGATCATCCAGAGTCCGATGGTCAGACGGAACGTCCAATCGTGTCCTAGAAGAGATACTTCGAGGATACGTACACTCCTTTAAGAGTTGGAGTGGGTTCTTGCCAATGGTAGAGTTTGCCATTAACAACTCGGTGCATGCGTCCACGACGCATACACCGTTTTACGTGAATGGCTTACGCCATCCGCGTGTACCCACCTTACTCGAGTGTGACTATGGTTTAAGGGGGGGAGAGACTCGCGCGAGAAAAACCGATTTAGTTCACGCTCATCACGCTCTGACGAAGAAGTCATTGCGTTTGATGCCGATATCGATAACATCGATATCGAAGAAGATGATGCCAGTGAGAGTGCGGAAGCCCTCACTGAAGAAAAGGTTGATGTTGCTGCAGTGCACTCACAGCGCACTGAAGCTAACGAGTCATCAGATGAATTCGTACTGGCTTGTGAAACGATAATCCGTTTTGTGCAAGACTCCATCGCCGAAGCGGTGGATAAGCAAAAGCAAAACGCTGACAAGAATGGAAGGGCAAACACTCTTTTATTTAATAAAGGTGACTTAGTCCTACTGTCTACGGTTAATCTACCAAAGCATGTAGTGACTAACTTGGGTATCAGTAAACTTCTACCCAAGTACATCGGCCCATTTCGTGTATTGTATCGCCTAGGCAATGCATACACGATCGAGTTACCACGTAAGATGCGAACGCATCCCACGTTTTACGTTAGTCGGATTAAGCCGTACCATCAGTACGCTGCTTCTTCCGATGTAGAACGCCCTTGCGCTCAAGCATCTCGCAGAGAGCCTTGTGCTCCCGATGGTGGGCATCGACAAGGGTCTGAAGAGCAGTTATCTCATCCCGAGACTGATCAACAATCCCACGAGCTACCCTTAGCTCGTCACGAAGAGATGTCAGAGATCTCTCGTTCTCAAGCTGAGCAAAGGCAAACTCAGCTCGATGCTTCAAGGCAGTGTCCGCCATTTGGAGACGCCTATTCCGCTCATGCTCGAGATCGTCGCGTAACCCTTGCGTTACGCGATCAAAGAAGCTCTCGGGAACACACCGATCCACATGATCGTG